CCCCCAGATCAGCAGCACGCAGTGGCAGGAGCCTCCCTCCCCAAGTTGTCCTCCCCCCGCCCTGGCTGTGCAGCTTGACTCAGCCCCATCCCCAATCCCTCCCTCGCTGTGGAGGTGTTAATCTGTCCCCCCACCCACCACTTCCCTTCCCTTCCTCTCTCCTCTGCCCACCACAACAGACTTACCAGCTGGATGCAGCTGTGCCCAGTGTGGTGAGGACTGCTGCCTGTTTAGTCTATGGCTGAATGTCTGAATTAGCACTGAATCTTTTCCGAATCGATTTGGAGGCTTCCGATTCGATATGGACTTTTTAATTGGTCTCCTGATTCAATTTGAATTCAGAGATTTAGCCACTAAATCAGGCCGAAACTCCTCCAAATTGAATCAACTGCTGAAGCTTTGCACAGCTCTACTTCTAAGTCTCTTAACGCTATGCAGGCTTGCACATAACCTCATATTCTGAATCCAAAAGGGGGAGAGATTCAGAAATGCAGGTAAATAGGTATGGGACATATGATTCTTAAATGATTATTAAATAATTATTGAAATCCTAAAATAACACAAATCTCTGTGTCTTTTTGATCATAAGAGACCATTTATCCATTACTAAAATGTCAGTTTTCTTTTTGTAAGCACTATTCTTTGAATGAAAACTTTAATATAGCTATGAATAAATAAACTGTGGCTTCCAGAGCCCATTTTTCTTTTTCTTTTTACTCATGTGGTGTTATGACACTAAAAATTGAACAGTTTAGTGTGCTGAAGATGGAAAATAAAAGATAATAAATCTAGAATATTCTTCTAGTAGATGCTAAGAATTTATATAAGACTGGCATGTTACTGGCATTTTCTACACAGTGTGTCTTATCCATTGTACTGTCAACTAATCTAGTATTCATCTGAAATGTTAGGTACAGGAGACAAGAAACAAGACCTCGTTACAGCATCGGACTTGAACAGGATGAGACTTACATTCCTCCAGGAGAATCCTTGAAAGACTTGATTGAACAGTCTCAGAGCTCAGGGAGTGGTTCTGGGCTCCCTCTGCTGGTAAGAAAGGACTATTATTTAGATACTAATAACACCAAGATAAAGACAGCAGTATAAATAAACCAGGGAATCATTGCTGAAGGCAAAATTGGACTCTGTATGTCTTTTTTGGCAGAGATGACGAGGGTATCAGTTGGAAAATCAGAGGTCTTTCTTTCATGCTCAGTGGAGGGTTTGCTTTTGATCTGACATACAGCAGTGCAAATGCAGAATAACTGACTTCCATGGAATTCATATGGATTTACGACAGTGTAAATGAGATCAGAATCTGGTGCAGAATTTCAGTTGCAGTATCTTCTATATGCAACATACAAGCACAGTTCAAACACTGCTATATTATTTTTATAAAAGGAGGATTGTGGAACTGTTAAACTTGGAACCTTTATACACCGGTGTGTTACTTTATATTAACAAGCTAAGAGCAGCATCCTTCATTTCACTTTGCTCTGGCCCTAGCAGCTTTATAGGTTGAATGCACATCGATTGAATACAGTGTATCATCATTTCTGAGTTGTATCGCAAGTAGCTGTGGCTGAGACCCAAATGCCTGTATATAAGGGGAGACTGTTTCCATTGGTAGGTTTATATTTCAGAGAAAAAGCATGGCTTTTCTGTTTATCACAGTTTGGGTTTTTTGATAGTTCTGCCTTCCTACCTTGGAGGTCCTGGACTTCATGGCACCACAGAGACTCAAAATTAGTTATTATAGATACTGCCTCTGAAAGCTACTATTTCCTTAGCATTTTCCTTATATATGGCCAAGAGTTGTATATCCTTCATATCTATTGGCATATCCGACAGTTTCCCCATTGCCATACTGTTTGAGCAACTTCCAAGAACATAAAACAGACTTAAGAGGACATCACTTGATTAGTTTCATAATGAATCAAAATTTGGAGGAGTTCAGAGTTCATCCTGATCAACTAACATGGCTTTTAAACAGTGCATGCCTGTACACATGTGGGGAGGCTGCTCTGACATGCTGTGATTACACGCACTGTAAGTAATTGAGTCTGCTGGAGCATGGTAATTTGCGCAGCCTCCAGCAGTCTCCACATCTCATGTATCAGCATCCCCACACTTCAAAATGGCTGCTGGGGCACTTGAAGTAAAGCTCATTTGACAAGCTTTAGTTCAAGCACCTCCACCACCATTTTGAAATGTGGAGATGCCTTTACGTGAGACACTATGGGTGCTTTAATTAGCCCCTTCACCCTCGGAGCATGTGTAAAAATGCCCAGTGTGCCCTGACCAGGGTAAATATAGTCAGTATGTTTAAAATGTGTTAGTGAACAGGTATATCTTCATAGCTGTAGCCCAGAACAGTAACAAATGTGTACAACAACAAAATGGCAAAACTTTTTGTTTTCAGTTTCTTATTTATTTCCCAAATAAAGAAATAAAGCTGATGCTTCAGAAAAAAATGAACCATAGTTTCATTTTGCAAAACTTATAAAATGTCAGTTTATCATAAACAATACTGTCTGTCTTCAGCAGCCCATTTATTATATTGGATAAAAATATTGCAACAAATCTAAACCTTAAGCAAGATACTATCCCTTATCTGTTACTGAACAATGCCAATTTCCTCTTTTATAATAATATCATAGCCCTCAGTCATGCTCATATATTTAAGGTGATATAAATAGTGCCACTATGGGTTTCTGACATCTTTTTTTTCTCCCAGAAGTTTGCATCTCTCTCGCATACAAGTTAGGCCAGGGTGGGCAATTATTTCAGCTGCAGGGTCACTCATGGAGTTTTGGTGAGATGTTGAGGGACGGGGGGTGCTGACCCAGCCTTGGCCCCTTGTCACGGTTGTTTACCCTGCCTGGTGGGGTGGGGGAGCAGGGAGATGCCTATTTATCCTGTCTAGCCCCATCTGTCCTGCACCCACCGCTGGGGTGCTGGATAGAGTGGATGGGGTCTTAGTTTCATAGTAGCTAGGGTCAGGAGGGACCTGAACAGATCATCTAGCCTGACCCCCTGCCACAGGCAGAAATGAATGCTGGGTTCACAAGACCCCAGACAGGTGATCATCCAACCTCCTCTTGAATTTGCCCAAGGTAGGGGTGAGGACCACTTCCCTGGGAAAGTTGGTTCCAGATTTTGGCCACCCTAACTGTAAAATATTGCTTTCTGATCTCTAACCTAAACCTATTCTCCATCAGCTTATTACCATTGTTTCTTGTCACCCCAGGTGGTGCTGGGGAGAAAAGGGCTCTACCTATTTGCTGTTGATCTCCCCTGATGAGTTTGTAGGCAGCCACCAGTTCCCCCCTCAGCCTCCTCTTGCTGAGGATGAACAGGTTGAGGTCCCTCAGTCTCTCCTCGTAGGGGAGAGACTCAGTCTCTCTCCATGGAGACCAGCCCAGGACCATCATGTGCAAGGTGCACTCAGCCAGGCAGATGGGATGGGGTGGTGGCAGGGGAGGAAGAAGTGTCCAGGAGTAGGATGGGTGACCAGGGCTGAGATCACAACGTGGTGGGAGCATGGGGCTGGGGCTGAGGGCAGAGCTGCAAGCTGCTCCCCACATGTCCCTGTGATGGGCACCTGTTTCTGCAGGTAGTGGCCAGCCCCTGCCCACAGAACTGGTGCCCGTCACAGGAACATGCAGGGAGCTGATTATGGCTCTGCCTCAGACTCCCGCCCCACACTATCATCACGATCCTGATGACACGATCCTGTCCTTGGCCCTGTCCCATTGCCCACGCATTCTGCTCCTGAATGCTGCTCCCTGCCTGCTTGTGGCCCCATCCTATCTGCCCCCACTGAGTGTGCCCTGTCTGCGGGGGTCCTTGGCTGGTCTCCGTGGAGACTCTGCCCACCTGCTTCATCCAGCATCGCTACAGGGGCTGCTGGGAAGCTGAGTCTGGCTGCTGCATCACCCCGCCTGCTGCCACACCACACACCTGGCAGAATACAGCTCCCAGTGTGTCTGAGAGCTGCATGTAGGGATAAGGAAGGCTGTGCTCCACACCAGGTGGCACCTCCATGCTCAGGCTCTCTGGGACCAGCCACGGGGCTGTCTCTGATGCCTGGGCCAGGCAGGGCTGAGCAGCCCACCATGGGCTGCATAAAATCACTTGGGAGGCTGGATCCAGCCTGCGGGCTGTACTTTGCCTACCCCTAAGCTCAGCAGAAGACAGGGTAGAGGTGCATCCTGTGTACCACCTGAGATGCATCACAAGTTAGTGAAAGGTTAAATGTTGTCAGTCAAATATTAATTCCCAAAGCATTTTCTGAACTTATAAGTAAAGGCTTTTTCCTTGCCTACAATCACTGCTTGGGCTAACCTGTACACCAACCAGAATCCTATTGACTTAAACAGGAGACATTGCTCATTGTCTGGCCTTTGGGTCATCTTGCAAATTTTTTTTTGGGGGGGGGATATAACAAAGCAATCCATTTTTGAGCTTGTTAAACAGTTTACTCAATTAGATGTGGGCTGCTCAACTCAGACTGCTCATGCATTTTTCTAATTCCATTCAGAAAATAATTTTGTTCCAAGACTGTTCGCAAAAGTTCATATGACCAAAGCCTATATACCAAAGCTTTGTATGCATCTTAAAAACAGCAGATTTTGTGCCTTGGTCTAAGCTCTTTTCAGTCAAAATTAGAATTAATTCTGTTACAAAACAGAATTCCATTGGAGGAAAAGTGGGAGTTGTCTGTAAATGTTTAGGTCATCCAGCCATGGAAGAGAGAAAAAATGCTATGTCACCTTCGCTGATTAGTCATAAAGCTCAAAGAATAAATTCTGGATGTTGAAGAATCAGCAAGCTATTCATTGTCGCAAGGAATCCAGAGATTAAAAAACTTGTAAGATCTGCTCATAAAATACTTTGTGGCAACCATTTAAAAAAAATCAGCATCAGTTCATGAATAAAGAAATTATTTATATATTTATTAAATAAAACAAATTTTTCATAGTAAATAACTTAACTAGCCTTTGTAGGAGGAAACCAAGTTAAGGGTCTTTACAGAGTATTGAACTGCCTTAGCATTCATAACAGAAATGTGTTTTTTCATTTTCTTAATGTAATTTAATAAGAAACTTTTCATCATTAAATACTGTAATTTCATATACTTTATGATGTCATTACATAAGTTTATAAAAATCCAGTTATTTTATGTAATGTTATTACTGTTCAGGATACATTTTTAAATTGGGCAAAACAGAAAGTAACAATGTTAAAATTACATTACAAAATGCTAAAGAAAAGTAATATAACTGTGTAATACAACTGTTTGTTAATCACTACATGAGAATATAAAAGGATAAATCAATAAAAATTAAGCCAGACTTTCATTGGTGTAAATCAAGTAGCAGCACTGAACAGCACCATCTTGATAGTCTCATAATAGGGTTTGAAAAATAATAGGGCTAAAAAAATTAGCTCATAGTTAATAGCTAACAAAAGTAGGTGAGGACTTTCTTGGGCAACATCTTTTACTGAACCCAGCTGCATGGTTGGAATACAATTAGACAAGCTTTTGAATACAAAGCGTTCTTCATCAGGTGTCTAGAAAAAAAAGTAGGAACTTTCAGTTATTTTTTTATGTCAGTGTTGTTCTTATTTCATTTCAGTCACTTTAAAAATAGTTGCTTACTGAGAATATATATATAGGCCTTACCTAAGAGATGTGGAATTCTCTTTTTGTATATGCATTCAGGCTGAACTGAGGTGTGTCCATTTTATTCTACGGTATCAAAATGAGTCTCCTGCTACTGGGAAGCATAAATGAACTGAGAACTTTCTCTGCACTCTTTCAGGAAATTAAATAAGAACGGGTTCTGAAGATTTATTTTAGCACCTTTGGTTTTTAGACTGTTATGGATAGTATAAAATGAAAAGAAATCTCATTAAATACTAAGATAACAGGTTTTTGTGGTGCATTGAATTCCTTAAGAATTGTACATTGACGAGGAATAGCAAATCTAGTTAAATGTTTAGAAAATTGTAACTAATTATTCTGGGCCAAATTTAGAAATGATGTAAGAAGGTGAGGCTCTACTGGAGGCTGTGGAGTATTTTATCTGTTTAAAATATTTTTTTAACAATTGCAATAAAATCAAGGAAGCTGTAGCTAATAGTTGAACTGCTAATACTGAGACAGTAGAGGGTGCCATTTTAACATTCTGTTACACAGGCTAATGACTGGGGAAAAGGGGCTGATTAATTGTTTAACCATGAAAGTTCATACTTTTGCAAATACTGTCACAGCTTTTACTTTAGTGTTTTTTCTATGAGTGATTAGGAATATGTGCCCTCCAGACACCTGCCATTTCTATTGGTATAAATTGTTCTGCACTAGCCCAAGGCAATATTAGCCACATTTTAGTTTAATGTGGGAATAGTTGATCATTCCTCCTAAAACTCAGTATGTTCTCTATCACCTTAGACTTAGATTTCTCTGAAGTGTTGTTGATTGCATGACATTTTTGATAAATGTCAAGAGGTGTTTTAATTTAGCTTTAATACAACCACTTTGCAAAATGGCAAAACTGTCTGATTCCAAAATGTGGTCTTCGGGAAAATGATATATTTGTAGCTTCCAGATCCCCAAGCTACAAATAGAAAACCTTAGCAAACCTTAGCAAACAATTGCTTAAAAAGTTGTGGCTGAATTTTTAAAAAATAGCCCAGAGTTAGGCTTCTTGATCCATATTTAGGTACTTAAATGAATGGTGATAGGAGTTTCACAAGAACTAAAGGGAGGTAGGTGACCACTCTTGCTAAATTCAGGTGTGCTTAGCAGTGACCCCCTTTTTAAACCCTCATTCTCAGAAGTGCTGAATATCCTACAAAAACTCTTTTTCACAGTAGTGAGAACTATTGGGCATATCACACTTGGGCATGGTTATTATATCACATAGATTGGCATGGCTGGTAGACATGATGTGGGATAATGTGCAAGTGTTTTTAACAGAAAATAGAGCTTCCACAAAGTCAGAATTTTCCACGAGAAAATTAAATACTTCAGCAAAATCAATCATTTTCCTTTGGCCTAATCTCCCTAACCTGTCTGCATCTTCCATAGTGCTTTATAATCTCCCCTACAGCCCATCCACTACAACATATCACAGTACTTCAGTGATCCTGGACTATCCTGGGAGATGTTCAGTAGGGAGTCAGAAAGAAAGGGGAGAGGGTGCTGTTTTAAAATGTCAGGAAAATGCAGTAGTACAGCAGTCTGGACTAGTGCAGATTAATGTCCAGCTAAATTGACCTCAATCAAAATGTTTTGTTTTAGTTTGATAAACCAGAATGATTTTTTTTTCAGTTTAGGGATATTAAAATTTTGCATTTAAGCAATTCTGTGTTGGGCATTTTTATAAATTTTTCGTGTCGCAAGCACGTTGAATTACTTTTCTGTTCTCTCCAACTTGGGAAAAAAACATAAACGGTTCCCACAGCATGGAAATGCTATGGGTTATTTAGGTACCCAACATGGATTTACAAGCCTGACCATGACATCCTTTGTTTGGCACTTTTGGCCTATGATATGTTATTAGGCTAGATAGAAATCTTTTGTTATACTGTCCACTGTGGACATTCACAGGCTTGAAGGACTGTGTATATATTTACAACTGGATTCTTCAAGAGCCTCAAACCTGCAAGAAAAATTTCACTAGTAGTCATTTCTATGAGAAGCAGCTTTCACACCTCTGATGACATTTACTCTGCAAGTCTGTGTCTTGCTACTTTGTGCAAAAGTTCTTATGTTTTTATATTGGGGGTGGGTAGGTCAGAGAAACAAAGATAAAGGAGACACATTTCTTATAGAGGGATTTTAATTATTATGTGTCTCAACAGGTCCAAAGAACTATAGCAAAACAAATTCAGATGGTAAAGCAGATTGGTAAAGGTCGCTACGGAGAAGTTTGGATGGGAAAGTGGCGTGGAGAAAAGGTAGCTGTGAAAGTGTTCTTCACCACAGAGGAGGCCAGCTGGTTCAGGGAGACAGAAATCTATCAAACCGTCCTCATGAGGCATGAAAACATTTTGGGTAAGTATCATTAAAAGTAGAGATCATGTAGTTGTGCAATTTTTTTAGTTTAGTCACTTTGCATTCACTACTTCATGTCCTTTTCTTTGGTACCTGCCCCACTCTTCAGTTACCATAAAACATTTCTCATTTGGGGCAAATGGTCTCAAAGCAAGCTGTTTTAAAGTTCTATGTGCAATAGAAAATGATTGTATTTGAGAAGGTGTTGTCCCAGCAACCACACATCCAGTTCTGCCACATGTATCTAGGATTTAAAACTTAAAAGGAAACTTAAGACCACTAAATTGACACAGTGTAAAACTTAGAAGGTAGCTTGAGGATGCTTGCATCCTGTTTGCTTCTTAAGGCTCGGTTTTGCACTTTGCAGAGCTCTCCCTAGGGGGAAATGTGGTACTACACTGCTCTAGGAGGAGCACTGGTGGGATTATATTCAAGAGGCCTGTTTTTCCCCAAGCTGCTGCGTGTGTAGAGGGGTGTGGGCAAGGGGAGGAGAGTCATGCATGTATTCCTGTACATGAGCTTGGACATCTGTTCCCTCCATTAGGATAGTGAAAAATTGTTTTCTCCACAGCATGAAAATCCAGTGCCTCCTCACCCATCCCCAAATGATTCCATCCCTGGAAAGACCTAGGGCTAAGTAGGACTTACTGTTGTATTCTTCCCTTACACAAGCAAGGGGCAGAGAAGTCTTTTCTCATCCTGAGCAACCAGATCACAAGCTAACCATTATGCTGGAGATTAGACAAACAAGCAGTGACAAACTTTAGCATAAGACATTCTTCACTCAGACACGTTGTTGATAGTAACAATTGTATGGCTCTTTCTTCATGAAGCATAGTGCATATTTTTAACGTGCTGATATAGCATGGCTACATGTAGGAGTGATGAAGGAAATTGAGCTTGTAGCTAAATCAAGAACACAAAGTGGCAGGCATACAATTTAAGATTGCAGGTGGTGATTAAAGCCCTGAAAAACTTGAAATCTTGTCTCCTTTTTTTTTCTTCAGGGTTTATTGCTGCAGATATTAAAGGTACAGGATCTTGGACTCAATTGTATCTTATCACTGACTACCATGAGAATGGTTCCCTCTATGATTATCTGAAATCTACTACCTTAGATACAAAAGCTATGCTAAAATTGGCCTATTCCTCCGTTAGTGGCTTGTGCCACTTGCACACTGAGATCTTCAGTACTCAAGGCAAACCAGCTATTGCCCACCGTGATCTGAAAAGTAAGAACATTTTAGTGAAAAAGAATGGAACCTGCTGTATTGCAGACCTGGGCTTGGCAGTTAAGTTTATCAGGTGAGTAAAATGATGTTCATTGCTTTGCGTGAGACTTCTGTCCTGTCTTAGATTAGCTAACGTGAGCAGAAATTTAATTTTTTTTCTCTTCTTCTACTTAGTTAAAGGGACAATAAAGAGATATACCAAGGTTCTTTGTGTGGCTGTGCATATTTGTGAGTGCATTGTTTGTGTACCTATTATATATTTGAGACATCCCTACAATCTACAGTCTATCCTATATATGAATGTGTGTAATATGGATGGGTGTAGCCAGCATATAACATGATTCATTTATAAGGAGCTGTTGTGTAGCTAAATGGGCATGCTAGTTGCACTGGTATATACATTGATGATGCTTAGTAGCAAACTGATCCATGTAACTGCATATTAAACTGAAGAGCCCCAAGACAGGTTGAAGGAGTAGCCTAATATGTAAATCTTTAAGGCTTTCCAATGTCTAAATAACTGCTGGATTAATGCAAATCATTTGCACATGTAACTAACAGGAATTTATTGAAAAGCACTCTTTTGAGCTGTTCTTTGTTTCATTTCCTACAAATCAAATTGCTAAGGTATAGATTTGATTTTTGAAATGGCTTTTAAATTCAATTTCTAAACATGGTGAACAGACAAGTAGGACTTCTTTACAAATCCCATGAGTAAGTCACTCATTGCCATCTGACACTTGTTCAGGCTCTTTGCAAGCAGGTTGAGTTTGCAGTCCTGATCCTAGTAGAAATGCATGTTCATAATACCAGGGAGGGGGTGGAGATTAGTATAAAAATATGGGTGTGATCTGCAAGTTGCATCTTAAAAAGTTAAGTTTGAAAAGGTGACTCCCTTTACTTATATTCAAAGATTCTAATCAAGATCTTGAACAGAATTTGTTCATAGTACAGATACAGCCTTATCTGCTTTTCTCATTGATGTAGTTAGGTTTTACTTTTATGAATGCATTTCTTTAAGGAAGATGAAAGTAATAATGATACTTTAGGGAACAAGTACATAGAATACAACACTTATTAGAAATATGCCATTCAGTGCTTTCAGGGAAGCCAGTTTACCATTTACAAATATATGTTGCTCAGCCTATCTGCTGTAATGGGCCCAGAAGGTATGAATCAGAATTAGAATGAATGATTTGTTGTTTTAGAATAAAACACAGTAATATAATTCCTTAATTGCAAATGCACTAAAATTCATTTCACATGTTTAACTATTTCTGTTGTTGAGTCCTAAATTTTGCAACACTCAAACAAAGCATAATCAGGAATGTATTGAGAGAAAGAACTGACTTCAGTACAGCTACTTGTTTACTGATTTTCTTAAAATTTTTAAAATAATGAAGGCTGCTGGATTTACATTACATTTTCTTTAGGAAGTATGCAGGTGTCCCAAATGGCACATGCATTAATATCTGTGTAAGCGACCAATTTTTCATCTCTTTAAGGTTCCATTAGATTGGCATTTTAATATCTGTGGGTAGTACTCTATAGATTTTGTCATTTCAAATCAATATAAAATATTTAGTTTCGAAAGCTGGAAAGTGCAACTGGCTTTTTTTTTTTTTTTAAATAATCCACAAATTACTCTTTCTCAAAACCATTACACCTGACACAGCTGAAGCAGGGTGAATGAGAGAAAAAAATCATCGTGTGTGTTAAAAGCATCTGTATTTTCTTATGTATTAAATCCCCACTGTTTGCTGCTTTGTCAGTGTGACACAAGATGTGTTTTCCTAGCGAGGTTGCAGGGGTGTAGGTTGCAGCCATGTTGGTCTAAGGACATAGGCAGACAAGGTTCTTTGGGGGAATCTGATATCTTTTATTAGACCAACTAAATAGTTGGAGAACAATTTTTAAGCAAGCTTTAGGGTTCAAAACCCCTTTTTTGAAGGGTTTTTGAACCTGAAACCTTGCTTAAAAATTGTTCTCCAACAATTTAGTTGGTCTAATAAAAGATATCAGATTCACCCAAAGAACCTGTCTGTCTAGCGAGGTTGGGCATTATAGCCAAGTGTTTTACACCTATGCAAGGAAAGTTTAGGTGAGATCAAGGGTAATGAATAAGATAGTGCCCCTCTCACAGGCCTGATTCAGCAGAGTTAAATGGTATTGCCCCAGCTACTTAGTTTCCTCCATTAATTGTTAAGAGGAAAGCATTAGGTGGTGGAATAAGTTAAGAAAATAACATTTAATGAAGATTTGATTGTTCTCACCAGCAGTAGAGTTTAGTCTGATGCTAATGAAATCTCGCAAATGTTACTGCATCCCTGTTGAGTCTTATCTCTGTTGTGATTCTGCATTTGAATGCTTAATATAGCCTCAGGCAAGTAAGCTTTTTAAGATGTATCCTTGTTCACACTAAGAAGCTTTCCCTATAAGAATTGTTCCATTAACATTATGTATTCCTTTTAACCTTAACGAAGAATGGATTTGGTTTGAATTTTCCTTTTTTCACATCCAAATGGATTTTCAGAGGTGATCATTTCAAGCTGCATTATTACATGTTTGATTCTTCTTTATTTTTTCTTTTAGTGATACTAACGAGGTAGACATCCCACCAAACACCCGCGTAGGAACAAAACGCTATATGCCTCCTGAGGTGCTGGATGAAAGCTTGAACAGAAATCACTTTCAGTCTTACATCATGGCTGACATGTATAGTTTTGGCCTTATCCTCTGGGAGATAGCAAGGAGATGTGTATCAGGAGGTAAATGGCAAATACATTGTTTCTCACTAAGGCATGGCTTCTCACTACTTTCATTTATAATCAAAAGCTTCCATTCCAGCCTTTCTTTCTGGGTAATAGCTGTTGTTGTAATAAACTAACTTGGATAAACACCTAGGTAGTCCTAATCATATTAGGTTTCCATTGAGGCAGAGTTTTTTTGTTTTTTGGGGGTTTTTTTAATC